GTCCCACATACAGCAACTAGAAGGATGTGCAACTATGACGTACAACTATCTACTGGGGCTTTGGGGGGATAAATAAATAAATAAAGTTTTAAAAAATGTTAAAAAATTAAAATAAAATAACTTTTTAACAAGGGTGAGTGATTGGGATACACAGGATATCACAACATGCAAAAATCATCACATACTAACTGCAAAGAGAGGAAAAAAAGTGTCTTTTTAATGGAGAGATCCGGCAGTCTCCCCTTAACCAAGGAATCAAACTCAGCCACCACTAATGTGAGCCAACCTGACATTATCCGTCTCCCAGTGTAATGCTATTAACAGCATCACCTATAGAGTATTCTCCTCTAGAATACTGAAGCTCCAGAAAACCAATAGAACTGTGTTGTCCATTTGGGAGATGCTTGCCACCTGTGGCTATTGAACAATTAAAATGTGACTAGTCCGAATTGAGACATGCTGTAAGTATAAAATGCACATCAGATTTCAAAGACTTAATACAAAAAAGAATGTAAAATATCTTATTAATATTTTTATATTGATTACATGTTGAAATAATGTTATTTTAAATATATTGAGTTAAAATATATTATTAAAATTAACTGCACCTGTTTTTTTCTTACTTTTTTAATGTGACTACTAGAAAAATTTAAATTACATCTGTGGCTTCCATTAGATTTGTATTGGAGGGCCGGCCCCGTGGCTTGATGGTTGGGTGCACGAGCTTGGCTACTGGTGGCCCGGGTTGGGATCCCAGGCGTGCACCGATGCACCACTTCTCCGGCCGTGCTGGGGCCGCGTCCCACATACAGCAACTAGAAGGATATGCAACTGTGACGTACAACTACCTACTGGGGCTTTGGGGGAAAAAAAGGAGGAGGATTGGCAATAGATGTTAGCTCAGAGCCAGTCTTCCTCAGCAAAAAGAGAAGGATTAGCATGGATGTTAGCTCAGGGCTGATCTTCCTCACAAAAAAAAAAAAAGATTTGTATTGGACAGTGATGCTCTAGACAGAACTTATATCTTATACTCTATAGAGGGGATGAAGGTGCAAGTAACAGGGGCATGGGGAAACAACTAGACAAGTCAAAAATTTGGGACATTTTACAAGACATCTGTCTTAGACTTCAAAAAGTCAATGTCATTGGAAAAAAGAAAAGTAAAGAAAAGGAGCTGTTCTAGATTAAAAGAGACTAAGGCGACATGACAACCAAATGGAATGCATGGAACTTGATTGGATCAGGTTTTTTCTTTAAGTTTATTAAAAGATATTTTTGAGACAACCTGGGAAAATTAAGTATAGATTGGATATTAGATGATATTATATAAATATGTTGATTTTCTTAGGTGTGATAATGGTGTGGTGGATATGTAGGAGAAGGTCCTTGTTCTCAGGAGATTCCCGCTGAGGCTTTTAGGAGTGAAGTGGTATAATCTTTGCAACTTACTTTCACATAGCTGGCAAAAGAAAACGTGTGTGTGTGTGTGTGTGTGTACAGAGAGAGAAAGAGAGAACAAAAGCAAATTTAGAAAAATGTTAATTATAGAATCTAGAATGGTTTAAGAATATTCATTGTACTAATCTTTAAACTCTGTATGAAATTTTTTACGATGAAAAGTTGGGGAAACAAGACAAAATTAAAAAATAATGAATGGGAGATGAGGAAGTGGAGACAGTAAGTGGAACCAACTGTTTCAAGAAGTTTGGCCGCGAACTGAAGTGAGAAAGGGGACAGTAGCTACAGCAGGCATGTAAGGTCAAGGAAAGTGTTTTTAAAAATGGAGACTTGAGAGGTTTTAAATGCTAAATGGGAAAGAGCCAGTAGAGAGGAAGAGAATAAAAGGTACAAGTTATGCTGGTCAGATTTCTGACCCATGCCTGGGGATATACCCTCTGAGAGAGATTCAAGATACCCCCAAGAAATGCTCTACCCCCCTTTCCCTGTCCCATGGCTCTTCCCTATCCCCCAAGCATGGTGAGAAAGTAGTCTTGGTGGCGACATCTAGTGGATTCAAAGTGCACTGCTTAAATTCTTCACACTCCTGTACATACACTCACAACCAGGAGGGCATTACGCTGGTCTTCTAACCACTCCAAGTTATTTTTAATTATTATATATATATAATTATGTTCAAATTATTTTTTTTATTGCTAGACCAGCTTAGGAAGTACAATGCTACTAAGTAAGCTCATCCTCTCCCCCACACTGCCCACAAAGACCTTTGATCACCTTTCGTGTCTCTCGGCCACTCCTCACAGGAAGGCAGAACACAGGTTGGGCAGAAGAAGGGACCAGAAAGGATAGTCACCCCAGTTACAGTCAAGTGGCCACTGCAGTCTGGTGAGCGCAAGGTGGACGTTTCTCAGCTATTTAAGCTCCCAGGATTGTGCAGAGCTTAAACTGTGGGCTCTGGAGTCAGAATAACTGGGTTCAAATCCCTGCTAGCTGTGAGACTAGGGCTGAGGACTTGGCCTCTCTGTGCCTCTGATGAGAAATCTCTCGAGACCTCAATTCTCATCTGGAAAATAGAGCTGATAGAACCAACCTCCTGGGTTTATTGAGAAGATTAAATGAAAGAATGCATGTAAAGCCAAGCATAGTGAGTGACAAAGGACACTCTTCCAAAGGTCAACCCTTATCATCAGCTCTGAAAGGGAGCAGATGACTAATGGGTCTGGCGGTGGCTGAGATAGGGATGAGGGGAGTGACCCATAGCTCTTCCTCTGCCCTCCTGATTTCTCACTTCCACATTTTGGCCATCAAACTCTATGCCTGCTTCAACGCCTACATCATCTCTTCCAAAAGTTTTCTCTTATTGGGCTCCACCCCTGGTCCCCAGACCATTAGTGAATCTCCTTGGCTTAATTCCTAGGGCACTTATCATCTTGTGTCTTGTCCCACTCTTATGGCTCCTACTTCAACCAACCTAATTTATTCATTCAGCAAATATGTATTGAGTGTCTTCTCTCTGCCAGGTACTGTTTTAGGTACTGGAGAGTGAACAAGACAGACTCATGGAGCTAACATTCTGGTGGGGGAGTAAACACAAAGCAAATACACAAAGCGGTATGTATGATGTCAGGTAGTGACAAATGTCTTGAAGAAAAGAAAGATAGGAGGACTGGGGGACAGAGAGTGAGGGGTGGTGTGGGATCAGAGTGGTCAGGAAAGGCTCAGGAAAGAGCAAAGGTAAAAACCCTGAGACAAGAATGAGTGTCATGTGTGGCAGGAACAGTAAAGCTGTCAGTGTGGCTGGAGTGGGGTGAGTGAGAGGAGAGGGGTAGGAGACAGGGTCAGAGAGGAAGGATTTTGATTTTTTAATCTAAGTGTTATCAAAAACAGGGGGAGTGTTGGGCCTGCCCCGTGGCTTAGCGGTTAAGTGCGCACGCTCCGCTGCTGGCAGCCCGGGTTCGCGTCCCGGATGCGCACCGATGCACCGCTTCTCTGGCCATGCTGAGGCCGCGTCCCACATACAGCAACTAGAAGGATGTGCAACTATGACACACAACTATCAACTGGGATTTTGGGGAAAAAATAAAGGAGGAGGATTATCAATAGATGTTAGCTCAGAGCCGGTCTTCCTCAGCAAAAAGAGGAGGATTAGCATGGATGTTAGCTCAGGGCTGATCTTCCTCACACACACACAAAAAATAATAAAATAAAATAAAAGCCTAAATCAGATTATGCATGCCTAAAATTAAAAAGAGTGGCAATACCAGGTATCAGTGAGGATGTGGAGCAAATGGAACTTTCATACCTTGCTGGTGAGAATGTAAATTGGTGCAACCACTTTGGAAAACTGTTTGGCAGTATCTACTAAAACTGAGTGTACACCTACACTATGACCTAGGTGGTAATAGAGAAGTCACAGAGAAGTGGTCCAATCCAGGATATATTCTGGATTTGTAGCCGATAGGACTGGCCAAGAGATGAGTGATGGATGAGAGAAAGAGGCATTGAAAACCTGGGCGGATGAGAGGACCATTTTCTGAGATGCAGAAGATTGAGGGAACAACAGATGTAGGATGAGGGAAGGTCAAGGCCTCATGTGTAGCTGTTTGGGTACGTGATGTCTCCCGGAGCTTAAGCTCTAGACGCCCCATACCTAGTGTAACTGGTAAATCTGGGTTAGGGGCCCAGTTCTGCCCCCTCACTTGCCCTGTAACTTGGACCTTACGCTGGGGCTGCCCAGCTTCCATCTTCTCCCTTACAGTGTTAGAATTAAACAAGATCACATATCTATGGCACCTGGAACATGGAAGAACTAAAACATTCACTCTCTCAAGTTCTAGACACTAAGTGACATGTCTCATGAGGTTGGCACCTTTTGCTCTCATCCACATTTTCAAAGTCACTCCAGAACTGTCCTGCTGAGGGGCCCAGCATAGTTCCCTCTTGCCTCCTTCAGCCCTTCCCCAGGCTGAAAGAAACAGAATGGAGAACAGCAGGCGGGTTGATTCATAGACTTTATCGGCTTTTACTCCACCCAGAGGTTTCTGCAAAGACAACCGAGCCTGTACAGTACACACAGTTCACTCAGTTAAAGCTGTGGGGCACAGGGAAGGGGCAGGGAGGCCCCTAGGAGGCAGCAAGACAGGCATCAAGGCTAGGGGTGGGCAGCAGCCAAGACTGGCCCAGTGGGCCCAGTGTTCAAGGAGGGCTGTGGGAGCTGGAGTGAGAAGGCTGCTGAGAGGGGTCGGGAGGAAGGGCGGCTGCAGGGAGAGGGGGTCGCATTAGCAGTTGCAGGGAGGAGGTGGGGAGCAGGAGGGAGGCCATGGTCACTGTCTACAGGGGATGGAGAGGATGAGACACAGCGCCTGTGTCTGTATGGGTGGGGGGGGTGGGGAGTCCACAGACATTTTCTGCAGCAGGAACAAGACAGACCGCTGTATAAAAGGGACTGTACAACATAACCTATGATACATTGTTTACATATGATACAAGGCTCTTTCTCTCTTCGAGTTTTAAAAAATAAATTTACAATTCCAGAGCTTTTAGTAAAAAATATATACACCTCCAGAGCAGGAGCAGCAGCTGCTTTTGCTGCTGCTGCTGCTGCCTCTTCAGAAGGGAAAGAGGTGGTGCCAGAGAGGAGGGTGAGGCTGTGCCAGGAAACCCCACCTAGTAGCTGCCAGGAGCCCCTGTGCCTCTCAGCCCTGGAGGCCTGTGATGGGAGAGGGAAGGGAGACAGAGAGGTAATAAGGGCATCACCAGCGTCCACTTTTGCCTTTACAGTCTCCGCTGTTCCCTCCACCTACTTTTGGGGGCTGCCCTCCCCAGGTACCGGGGTCCAGGTACAGGGGTCTGCCCTACCCCAGCTCTGATGGGGAGGACAAAGGGGGAGTCTAGACAGGGAGAAGGATGGAGACCATGTTGTTGGTGTCCGACGCAAGAGCCAGAAGGGGGTGACAACTCCCTTCTTAGCAGTGATATACCCCAAAAGCAGGAGTGTGGGCAGCATGCACCCCTAACTCCTGATACCACCACACCCTATCCCACTGCAACGCAGAGGGAGGGTCCAGTAGGCAGCTTAGGCCTGTGTTTCCCTGAGCATCTTTTACCCTCTCATGGGAGCCCACCCAGGGACCTTCAGGAGGCCTGAGTGGCGGACTCACAAGGGCAGATGGGTAACCCCTCCTACCTGCGGCTGCTCCTGCCCTCACGAGCAGCTTCACCCACAAGCCTGGGCATGCAGGGCAGCAGAGGTGCTGAGCAGGGAGTGGTGTGGGTGGGGAAAGCACCCCGTACTGTCCCAGGGGCAGAGGAGACAAGGGTAGCACCAAACAGAAGGACCTCTCCCTCCAGCACACACAACACCCTCCCTCAATTACCAGATGCACTCCTGCTCCTTAAAAGGGGACACACGCACATACACACACAGACAGAAGGGCAATATAATATTCAGGGGGTACATCTAGGGATCCCAGTCCTGACCAGGGAGATGGTGGACAGGTGGCAGAGAAAAAAGCTGCCAACCCCTCCCATAATTCTGCTCTGTGAGACGGGAGGGTAGGCAGCTTTCCTTCCTGTCTGGGAAGAGGAGGTTGGAAACTCCATCTCCGGAACAGACCTTGATGGGAGGGGACAGAGGAAGGAGCTCTCTGCCCCCTTTCCCTAGGAGGGCAGGAACCAGCAGAGTGTGGTTTTGGCTTGAAGGAGCAAGCGGGAGAGGACTTCAGCAGGATGAACAGGCTTATGAGTCCAGGGGTAAGTGCACCCAACTCCTTCCCGTGGGGTGGGAAGCTGCTCCAGGGGAAAGATGTCAGAGGTGGGTTGGAACATCATACAAAGTGCTTGAGTGCCAGGTGCCCGAGGACCCTGGTGGGGGGCCGACCAGAACCTCTGCTCTCACTGACTGTTAGCTTCCAGCTTGTAGGAGAGCTCGAAGAGAAGGTTCTGGTTGTCAATGACCTGGAACTGGCGCACATAGGCCTTGGTCTGCAGGTGATGGGGAGATGCCTCCATATCCAGGCCTGGGGGCGTTAGGAGAGAGAGGCCATCAGGTTCCTCGCCTCCCTTCACTGTCTACATACATATGGGCCAGAGAAGAAGGGTGCAAATAGGGACAGGTGTTGGGCAGGGGGGCCCCTGAGGAGGCCAGGGAGAGAATGGAGAACATTCAGGCAGGGAGTTCTCCCCAGAACCTTCCCTCTGCTCAGCCTGTGATGCTCTCAGAGCCCTGGGTACTCACAAAGGGGCCGGCTCCGGTATTTGCGGATTGTCCTCACTTTTTCAGCCACTGAATGCTGGGAGATGACAAGGAATGAGCCTCAAAAAGGGCACAGAATGATGCTTTCCCTCTCGTGCTCCCCTGCCTCCATTCTCAAACTTGGTTGGTTTTACTCCCTCCAGTCTCCAATTCTGGAGGGTCTCAGAAGGACCAAAGAAGGGAGTGTAACAGGGTGCCAGGTGAGAGGAAGGTAGAGTTGCCTGTCAGTTTGGCCACCCATGGGCGGGTTGGCAGTCAGGGAGACAGTCAGGCATCTGTCAGGCAAGCTGGGTGCCATGGAGGAAGGCTGCTGTCTCTAGGGGGATGCCAGGAGATGGGGAGGATGCCAGCCCCCCACTCATGGGACTGGGTTTGGCAGTGCCACTCACCAGCTTCTCAACGTTCACCAAGCCATCCACAAGGGTCTTACTCCCCTCGTGTAGGAAAGTCAGGTCTAGGGGATGGGGGGAAGCAAATGGATAAGAGAGGAGGTCCAAAGGGCCCTTCCCCTCCCCTAGAACCCACTCAATCTAGGGGCCTCCTCTCTAGGTGGGCACTCGGAGCTGAGCTGAGAGAGGACTGAGAGGCAGAACTGGGGCATGGAGAACTGGAGAGGAGAGCACACCTTGGGAACAACTCACCTTTGAGGACCAGAGGCACGAAAGGAATCACAGGGGGTTTCATCTTGGAGATCACTTCTCGGTAGCTTTTGTGGTTCCTGCAGGGGTCCTAGCATTCCACAGAAGAGTGATAAAGGGATGGAGAGGCCCAGTGTATCCCAAAGACATCCCCCAAACTCCCTCCCTCATCCCCCTGTCCTACACACATCTCCAATCAGATAAGGGTGGGTATGAGGGTGTCGGTGTGGGGGCTTGACTGCTCTCATCTCTCCTCCAGGGAAAACAGGGTAGCAAGCCTCGCATTCTGCCACTCCCAGCATGGTGGGGTGGGCAGGGGGAGGGGGATTCCCAGGCACTAAAAACCTTGAGAGGGAAGCTTGAGGAAGAAGGTTTACGGGAACAGACAGTCTTTGGGGTGAAAGTCCAGGGGCAGGTAAAAGAGCCAAACCTACTCACTGTCAAGTTCTCAAATTTGCGGAACAAGTTCTTGAATTTCCCTGGCAGCTTCTGCAGAGAGTGTGAAGGAAGGAAAAGGAATGTCAGACCGGAGCTCCTTGGGTTTCATGGGAGCTTCTGACTAATCTCCAGGTGTCAGAGGGGGAAAGGCCCTGGGTGTGTCTTGCAGGGGGCTGGGAAATTGGTAGCTGGAGAAGTAGAGTCAGCCTTTGGCTAAGTCTGGGGAGCTTGAAGCAGCCCAGAGGAATAAATTATTCTGGGGAAATGCAGGCCTCTGCTTATGCATGTGCTGTGTACAAAGGTGCCTCACTGAATGTTGGCTGAAATCCAATAGCCAAGTCTGTGACCTGGCCTGGGCTGCCTGCCCCCACTCAGGTGGGGACTCCGCCCTTTGACTAATCTGGACTAGGACAGGGTCTATTAGCCAAGCTGTGTGCCCTGGGGCTGGATCTGCCAGAAGGGGCACCTCCTTCCAATTGGCACAAAGGCTCCCTATAGGCTAGCAGCAGTCCCAGGAGGCCGCACTGGGTGAGCTCAGGATGTCAAGACTGAGGCTGGGGGCCAAGATCCCCGTGGTGGGCCAGCACAGACCAGAGGAGAGGAAAGAGAAGAGTTCTCATCACCTCCCACGTGAGCCGCAGGCGGCTGACCGCGGCGTTGTCCAGCCCCATGACCACGGCGTAGAAGGATAGCAGGTCCTGGTTCTGCTTGCAGCTGCGGGGGTGGGAGGCAGGGTCAGCGGGCTGTCAGGTGGCGGTGGCCACCCGGCCTCCGCCCTCCCCCTCTGCCTGCAGGCCGCACTCACATGGCCGCGATCTTGATGAACTTCTTGAGCAGCTGCGCGCGCTTGCCCGGGGCCTCGCAGAGCAGCACCTCGGTGGCCACCCAGTGCGAGACCTCGCTGCAGCGCTGCAGCAACAGCTCCAGGTTGGCGGTCTCCCGGCGGCCGCGCTCCCCGTGGAACACGTAGTCCACGAACTCCAGCTGCACCCACGTTGGCGGAGAGGCCGCCAGGGCGTGGGGGGTGTGAGTGGGTAGATGGCAGTACAAGGCGGTGGGGAGGGAAAGGCAGGAGGGCGGGGGCGGGAGGGGTAGAAAATAGAACAAACGGGGACAGGACAGGATGCAACAGAGATGGGAGGAAAAAAAACAACCAACATTAATAGTACTCTACCATCTACGGAGCACTCACTAGGTGCCCAGCCCTTGCGGGAGGCTCATTTATCCTCAAGACAACCAACTGATAGATATTATTGTCGCTGCCTTATTTTATGTCTTTAATAGTGAATGTTTTTTAAATACTAACCATGGGTCAGGTTCTGTGTAAGCAACACTTGGGCCCTGAACCACTCTGCTAGTGGGTCTGTCTCTTTATTGGTTTTTTCAGAGGAGGGGACAAAAGCTTAGAGAGGCTGTAGCTGTGCATTGCCTGAGGGCATGCTGCAAGTGAGCATCCTGACCAGGAAGTTCCGCTGCAGACACTGCCTCCCTCCAGGCCCCCACACCGGTACATTTCTCCTTCCAGGCCCCCATCCCAGCCCCAGCCTCAGTCTCCACCTCGTGCACACATCGGAACAGCTCCCAGTGGAAGGCGGTAAGGTGGTTGGCGACGTCCTCAGGCTCCACTCGGTGGATCTCTGTGTCTCCAGGGGAGACCTGGATCTCCTCCGGGAGGGGCACCTGGTGGCAGGCAGGGGCACAGAGGCTGGCGCCATCCTGGGCTTGTGAGTTTTTGCTCACAGCCCCTCCCAGCCCTTGCTCCCAGCCAAGGCCTTGTGAAGCAGGTCTTACCAGGGTCTCATAGCTGTCCCGGGTGCAGGCAAACAGGTGGCTGTTGATGCCCAGCGTGGTGAAGACACAGTCTTCAGTCGGCTGGAGAAGGACCTTCTCTGAAGAAGAACAAGCTGCTCTGCCTCAGCCCCGGCCACCTACACCCTCACACACCCCAGCCACTGTTGCCATCCCATCCAGAGATGCCTAACCCTGCACGGGCACATTTAAAATTTTTTTTTTTTAATTTTATTTATTTTATTTTTTTCCCCCAAAGCCCCAGTAGATAGTTGTATGTCATAGCTACACATCCTTCTAGTTGCTGTATGTGGGACGCGGCCTCAGCATGGCCGGAGAAGCGGTGCCTCGGTGTGCGCCCGGGATCCGAACCCGGGCCGCCAGCAGCGGAGCGTGCGCACTTAACCACTAAGCCACAGGGCCGGCCCAAATATTATACTTTCTTTTTTTTTTTTTTATTTTTCCCCCCAAGTGGTGAGTCAGTGCGCGCCTGGGATCTGAACTGGCGAACCCCGGGCCACCGCAGCGGAATGCACGCACTTCACCTCTTGCGCCACCAGGCCGGCTCCCCACACAGGCACATTTTAGATTAATGGGATTCGTACTATCACCAGGGTAAGCCATGTTTATCTGAAATTTTTCAAATGATTCCTTCTACATTTATAACCTCCTTTTTGCTCCCAACGTTCTTTCACAGCTCTTGATCACTCTATCATCCCTGTGACACTGGAAAAGCAGGACTCTTTTTCCCATCTTAGAGGAAAATAAGGCCATGACTACACTGCAGGCTTTTTGCCTTCCCACAGGGATTGGAGGCCCACCCTCTGTCTTTAGCCTCAAAAACGTAGCATCCTTAGGTACTCGAGGAGGTTAATGGACCAGAACATGATCCCAAAGTGAGTAAGAGGCAAGCACCCAGATCAGAATCCAAGTGTCTGGGACCAGAGCCTCACAAACATTAACGTGCAAAGGAATCACCTGGGGATCTTGTTAAAATGCACATTCTGATTCAGCAGGTCTGGAGAGGGCTCTGAGATGCTGCATTTTTAACAAGCTCCCAGGTGATACTCATGTGGCTGGCCCAGGACCACACTTCGAGTAGCCCAGGCCTAGAATTCAGTCTTCACCCCTGCCCCAGGGCACTGGACTTGTCAGTTTCTCTTCTTGTGGCCCAGCTCTTCCTGACCCTCACCTCCTGAGGAGGCCACAGCTACCAGGATGAGGGAATCCTCACGCCCTGCAGGCTCCTCCGAGTACTGCAATTTCTCAGTCACAGAGCCCAGAATGTCCTGCACAGACGCTGACAGGCGGCTGCGTATGGTCACGTAAGAGTGGTCAGGCATGTAGACCCGGCAGAAGACTGGACAGATAAAAGAAGGTGGCTTTTCATCAGAGGGCAGAATGGCAGAATGGACTGGTACAGTCCCTTTCAGGGCACATCTGTTCCTCACCCCACCCCACCCCCAACCCTAAATTGGTTGGCCTCTGAAAAAGATGCTGTGAAAAGGACTGGCTCTACTACACAAGGAGACTCCACTGAGGGTGACCAAGACCCAGAGACCACACAGGGGCCCTGAGCCATTCAGGATTCCCTGCCCCTCCAAATGCCCATACTCACTCTCATCGGAGCCCCGGAATGCCACTCGGGTCTGCAGACAGGAGTCTATCCGGCGGAAGTGGCGGAAAAGTGGCTTCACTTGCTTGCTGGGTGGCTGGCTCTCCTCTGGGATCCTGGCATGAACACAGCTGGGCATCAGGGAGCCCTGCCAGGCATGTGGAGCGCCAGGCAGGCAACATCAAGCAGGGATATCAGAACTGGGTCAAGGATGCACTGGCACCAGGTTCAGAAAGTGGTGAAGGAGTTCAGAAGAGAGGAGAATGACCAGCATGGCACAACTGTCCAAGTGACACAAATCAAATGCCACCTCTTCCATGAATTCTTCTCTGATCCACCCCACCCACCAGGAAAGGTAATTTTTTTGCCTCAACTGCTTTAGTACATTGGGTTAATATTTGTTTATGTGTGTGTCTTAACTCTTTTACAGGATTGAGAGCTTTTGAGGGCTGGGATTAGTTCTTACTGAATTTTTTTTCATCCTCCAGGCCTAGCACACTGCTTGGCACATGGTAGGTGTAGGTCCTCAGCTGTTTGATGAATTTTGCCAACAAGAATTTCACAGTCTGGGAGGGAGACAGACGTGCATACAGCTACTTCTAACACCAGGCGGGAGGTGTTAGGTGATATAACAAAGGTACAAGGAGAGTTATGTTGGTATGGAGGAGGGACAAAGCTACTTCTGAAAGGAGGATCTGGGGAACTTTCATTAAGAAGATGGCATTTGAGGGGGCTGGCCCGGTGGCGCAAGCAGTTAAGTGCACGCGCTCCGCTGCGGCGGCCTGGGGTTCGCCGGTTCGGATCCCGGGCGTGCACCGACGCACTGCTTGTAGAGCCATGCTGTGGCGATGTCCCATATAAAGTAGAGGAAGATGGGCATGGATGTTAGCCCAGGGCCAATCTTCCTCAGCAAAAAGGAGGATTGGCATCAGATGTCAGCTGAGTGCTGATCTTCCTCACAAAAAAATTAAATAAAGAAAGAAAGAAAGAAAGAAGAAGATGGCATTTGACCTGGTCTTGAAGGACAACAGGAAGAGAAGGGGGTGGGAGGAGGTCCTTCTGGAGTGAACCATATAAATGACAGCAGGGAAGCTGGGAAAGCACTGGAGTTCAAGGGATGGTGGGGTGTATAGGGAGTGTCATGGGTGGAGGGGGACGTGGGAGATGGGATGGGAAGGATCAGCAGAAGGCAGAAAGAGAAGAGCATTGAATGCTGTGCTAGGATGTTGCAACTCTGTCTTGTAGACAATGGGGAGCCATGGATGTTTCTGGCACTGAAGCATGATGTTGTTAAGGTTGAAAGATCTCTCTGGTGTCAGCATTAGAAGGGAGAGGAGGATACAAGACCATAAGCTGAAGCTCTGGATAGGAGGCTGTGGCAGTAATCCAGGTGAGAGATAATGAGGCCTAAATGAGGGTTATGATGGTGGGGATGGAGTGGAGAGAAACTGAAAGGGCAAAGGGATGGACAGTGGGAGGGAGGGAGGGATGGATGGATGGACTGATGGATGGATGGATGGATGCAGTGGTGTCTTGAAGCTGTCTCACATTGGCTCATGAGAGTAGATTGTTAAATTTTGGGGAATTTTGCCAACTGGTTTTTAAACACAGCCATTAAAATATATATATATATATATATATCATAGCCATTAAAATATATATTTATGTTTTATAAATTTACAGTCAAATTATTACCAAAAATGTAGTTTCCTAATTGTTTTACTACTATCTATGCTCTTCAGGTTATTTATACCTGTTGTATTTATATGGCAAAAATACTATATAATGGCTTGCAACTGCACAGCTCTTCCCAACTTCACATTCAGTGACATCATGTTGGTAGCTTGAAATCAGCCATGGTGAGAGAATTTACACCATGGGAATCAGCAAAAGCTACAAATTAGGGCTCTTTTTCCTGCAGTGCTGGTTGTTAAATATTTACCAGTATGCCATTGGATTGACAAATAAATGGATGGAAGAATGGACAAAAACAATGACTGCAGACAGTGCTTTGTGCTACTCTCCAGTAAGAAAAGGGGCTGAATAAAACCATATTGGAGCTCAAAGGCCAGAGGCAGCCCCACTAATAGAGGAACATGGGGGACCTCTTTCCTGTCCCCTCCCCCAACCCATTCCCTCACTTTAGCTCCACTGTTTCCACAAGCTGGTGCAGCCTCAGTGTGTCCTCTCGGAGGTCCTGGTAAAGGAACTCATCCTTCATAATCAGCAGGTACAGATCCTGGGGAGAGGAGGAGAGAAGGTGAGGGCAGGGGACTTATTCCAAGCATCAGTCTCTGCAAGGGCTGGGGAAGGATCTCCATGCCTTCGAGCATAGAAGAACCATATAAGCTAAGGCCCACTGGCATGTTTTCCTTCCAGGTACCCAGCTTGAGGAGTATGGCTCCTTCAAAGGGGCCCCCTTCCAGAGCTAATAGCCTACTCACCCGCAGGCCCTCTTCCCCCAGGCCCACCTTGATGATGCAGCCAGCCCCCTCTTCTTCCTGCAGCAGCCCCTGGTAGGTGTCCAAGAAATGAAGGAGCGTAGCTAGACACGCCTGCTTCCGGCCCAGCCCCTCAGGGCCCTCCATGCCTCCTGCCCAAACAAAGCTGACCCCTAAGTTAAGAAAAAGCCCTGGGCAAGCAGATCTGAGGAAACTGTGAAGGGGATGGGAGGCAATGGGAGGCTAAACCACCCCCAAATATTCTCTAGGTTTGGGGCCAGGGAGAAGGAGGCCCAGAGATCCCTAGAACCAAGATTCCTTCACGCCCCAGCTCAGGTTTTTGCTCGGAGTAGGTGGGGATGGCAGCCACTTGACCACATCCAGCTCCCGCCTTGAGGATACCCTGCCTGGACCCACCCAACCTCTGACCAGCCCACAGCCTGGAGCTCATGGCAGGCTAATAAAAGCCAATGGTGCTTACCACTAACCTGACCATACCTCAATAATGTAAGGCCTAGTGTTTCTAAGAAAGCCTATGATATTCTATTCAGCGGCCTGACATTTACAATTAGGTTCTAAAATAAATCAGTGAGAGGCCTTATGCTTACATGAGACCCTATGAATAGCCCAGCCAGTGGCTTGACTCTAGCAGACCCTACTAAAGCACAGCCATGACCTGATGTTTACATCAGACCCTGTAATAACTCACGGGCAACCAGATGTTTAGAGCAACAATTCAGTGGGGAGAGGCACCTTTAATAGAACAATAACACCTTACATTTGTACAGGGCTCTGCAGTCTCTAGAGCACTCCCACATCTGCTATCTGATTGATCTCCACAGCATTCTTGTAGGCAGGGCAGGTGCTATTTACCCCCATTTTACAGAAGAGGAAACTGAGGCCCAAGGAGGTTGGGTGATCTGCTCAAGGTCACACAGCTAGTGAGTAAAAAGCTGGGAATTGAAACCCAGGTGTGCTTTCTAGGGAAGAGCTTAGAGCCTGACATCACATGTGGGGCGGGGGGAGTGGCTCCCTCCCGACCTCCCCTTTCGCAAGCTCCACAAAAGGATATTACTGGTGTAGCTCCTGCAGAAATTTCTCCGTGGGGAGGAAGAGAGAATGGGTGAGGACGATGTCATCCAGCAGGATATCTGTAGAGATCAATTGGCACCACTGATGTCAGGAGGGCACTTCTAGGACCCAACTGGACACTCACCACCCCCCTCTCTTGCCTCTGAGGGTGAGTTCTCATGAGCCAGGCTGGAGCCCCAGCCACCTGCCCTGTCATGCTCTGCACACGCACACACACACACATGTGTGAAGGTTCTGGGCAGCCGCTGCGGGGGTGGGGTTGGCAGCTGCCAAGGCAGCTGGAGGGAAGGAGGGGGCGCCCTTCAATGGCCACGCCCACATCCCTTCAATGTGTGGGAAGCTGGTCAGATAATACACCAAGCTTGAGATCTGCCTGAAAAAAGAGGTAGCCCACAGAATTGTCTCTAGACAAAGAGAACTTCCAAACACAGTGGTTAGGGTCTGCGGGGTGTGTGTGTGTGTGTGTGCGTGTGTGTGTATGTGCGTGTGTGTATCCCTCCTCTCTTCCTCACTCCCTACCTAACAGCTTTGAGTTCCAACTAGGCAGGTGAGAACCAGCCCATTAAAAGGGAGAGGGAGCAACTGCCATCTGTTTGATCCCAAAACCTTTAAATAGAAACCCTGTGTCCTCTGAATGCCCAGAGATGGAAGGGTTAATGATGGAAGGGTGGAGAGGAGTGGCTCTTCTCACCACCCTTTTCCCCTCCACACCCCCATCTGGGCCTGGCTCAGCCAGTCAGCCAGGTACAAGGTCGCCCTGACTTGCAGCCAGCCCTGGGGTGGGGCAGGGCAGCCTGGCACACACAGACAGGTAGGGCACAGGGAGGGAGCCAGGTGTCCTCACCAGGACAGGTTAGGGCCAGGTCCCCAGGCCCTGCCCCAGGACAAAACCAAGGCTTCTGACGGCCCTTGGCTCACCATCCCCTGGCCTCCAATTCTAGCCATGAAGGTGGAGGAGGAGAACCAACACAAGATCCTCTCCTTCAACTACTGCATTTCACAAATGAGAAACTGAGGCCCAGAGCTGGGAGGTACTTGCCTGGAGCTGGAACAAGAACACAGACTCCTGAGTCTTTGTTCTTTTCTCAATATGCCTGAGACAAGCAGAGGGTCAGGGTAGAGGTCAGTGGTCAGATGGTGCTGCTTAGATGTTTGAGCGACTTTAGCTAGTTTGGGGGTACCTTCTGTAAGTTCCCTTCTCCCATATACCCTGGGAGGGAACCAAGATAGCTTGAGAACATTGGTGATATTGGAGAATATCAGAGTGGCAGGTTAAGCTGATTCTCACTCACTCTAGGACTGGTTTGGGGTCCCCCAAACCAGTTACTCTGGGGATCCAGCCTGCCAGGCCAGATAATACAGTGACAATCAATTCAGGAGTCCTTCCCCAGGAGAGATTGAGCAGGGTCTGTGGCACCAAGCCCCTGTGGAAGGGGAAAGACAGTTTCCCCCTTTTCCTCTCTGCCTAGCTATCCTGCTATCTGCATAAAGTGAATCTGAGAGTTACCAGCCTGACCCTCAGCTCCAGGGATGAGACTAGAAATAGGGATGCCCAACATCTTTCTTATATGATCTCTTTACTTCATAGGAGAGCTAAAGCCAGAGCAAAGGAAGAGGAACATGGGGCAGAGTCGGAGAGATGCTGCTATGGGGGCTCCAGTTTGGCATCTGTCCCTTCTAAGGCAGGCTCTGGTCCAATGCACAGCCTCCCCAGGGAATGTGTCATAGAGACACAGGGTGTATGGTGTAGGCGGGAAGTTATGGTTGGGAGAGCTGTGTGTGTCTGATATTTTTCTAATTAAATCCAAAAGGTGTCAGCTCTCCAGGGCAACTACATTCTGAGCCAAGGAGAGGACCCAGGTCTTGAGAAAAGTCTAGGGGAATGGAGCCCCATTCCACAGAACTAGGTTAGGGCTCCCTGCAGAGGTCTGAGAGCCAAGTGTGAAACCCCATCTTTAGGCCCTCAACCAGGGCTCCCAATCCTCAGACCCTGCTGGGCTGAGTGACATGCCAAGAGCTAGACCTAAAGACATGCAAGTCTTCTACCTCAGCCACTAACCAGCAATTTGGGGCCTCAGTTTCCTCAAAGTCCCCTTAGTAGGGGTGCTGGTGGGGAGTGGTGAAATATCATCATCCTTTAGGGAATAAGCCTCTCAGGGTGTGGTTATTTTTAAAGAGGCCGTGTGCTGAGGCCTGCCACCGGAAGGGCGGGAGTTGGAGAGGCTCAGACCCCTTGGATACTGCAGGACCCTGATGTCTGCCCAGCCACCTCTCCCCCAGCAAACACCTTCTGAGTCAGCCCCCAACTAGAATGCCTCCCTCCCCCAAAGCTGTTAAGGACAATGCATCCCTTTGCCCAAGCTCAAGAGGCAGCTTGGGCCCTGTGCCTGTCTGGCACTGCACCACTGAGTGGGCCAGCCCTGTGCTCTGGGGCTTCTAAACAGAATCAGGAACTCCTGGAAGGTCTTTCAGGGCTTGGGCCCTCTAGGGGGGCGGCACTAGCTGCTCTGGGCAGCTTCCATCTTAGTGTGTCAGGTCCTAATTTTGGGCCACAGAAGGAGGTAGGTAGTCAACATCAGAGACCCATGCGAGTCTGGACAAAATCTCCAGGGGAAAGGAAGGGTGGCTTAAGGAGAGAAAGAGGTTCAGCTTCTTCTCCAGCCGTGGGTGAGGCTGCTACAGGGAGGCAGGTGGCACTGCCACTTCTCTTCTGCAGAAGGGTCTGTTCCTCCTATAGGCCCCCACCCCACTTCAGCTGACCACTCAACCCCACACCGAGGCTCTGCATAGCGCCACCCCCAGTCTCCAAGGGCAAGGAAGAGGAACCAGGTGGCAACCCCCTACTCTGGGATGGATGAGCCAGCCGACTTCTTACCTGAGGCAGCACTGTCCCTTGTGGCCCCTCCGGCCAGCCTCTCCAGAACCCGGTTCAGAAGATGCTCCGGCCGCTCGGGGGCGCCCAGCGGGGCCCAGGGCGGGGAAGTCAGGGGCTCACCCGGGGACAGCTCATCTGAGGAGTACGAGGACGGGGAGCGCAGGGGCCCCCCTCCCCCGAGCGGCCCGGGCCCCGGCACCTCCTCTAGCTGCAGCCAGCAGGGCCCCCCGCTACCTAGCTCCTCCGTGACCCCCGCCGGCTCTCCACCTTCCTCCTCAAGGGGCGGCTCCAGCCCCGGCTCGGCGGGGGGCTCCCGGAGGAAAGCTGGGAGCAGCAGGCGAGACACGCTCTGACGCCGCTGCAGCGGCCGCGGTCCCCCGGCTGGACCGCCGCCCCCACCAGGTCCACCACCCCCTCCAGGCCCGCTGCAGCTCCCCGGACCTCCGCCGGGACCTCCCGCCACCGTTCGCCCCGCCAGCTGCGACGTCTGCTTCTTCAAAAATTTCTCCAGCGGCTTCATGCCCCCCCCCCCGCCCCTCTCCTCGGGGCCGCCGGGGGACCCAGGTGTCCCAGGCGCGGGCGGGGGGGGCGGGGACACGATGCTCAGAGGCGGAGGGGCAGAGCGGAGGGCCGTGCCAGGCGCCGGACTGGGGGCCAGAGGTGCCCGAGGCTCGCTGGCCGGAGTCCAGTGGCCAGTGGCCGGGGGAGGTGCCAGAGCGAAGGAGTGCCCGCTCTTAGTGGCCCCCCATGCGGGCTGCAGCCGGCACGCGGCCCGAAGGTGGGTACGCTACCGGGCCAGTGTCCCGGGCTCTGCGCTCCTGGGCCGGGCTGCGGCGGCAGAGGCAGCGGGCGGAGCGCAAGGCTGAGAGGACGCGGCGGCGGCGGCGGCGGCGGCGGCTGCGCTCCTGGCCCGGGGGAAGGTGGCAGAATTGAGACCGCGCCCCCTCCTCCAGTCCCCGCCCAGTCCCCGCCCCTGCCCCTCCCGGGCCCGCCCCCTGGGCCGCGCGAGGCTTGAATTTGGGCGCTGGGGGCCGACCGACAGAGAGGGAAACAGTAAGGGGCTGAATGGAATTGGGTTCAGAGCAGACGCAGAAATTAAGGGCAAACGTGAGGGAGTGATTTACCAATGGAGGGGGATTCCTGGCTCCGGGGCTTACAGGGACTCTTAGTATCGTTTCAAAGACCCAGGGCAGGTCTGTGGCCTGCACTGCTTGACCCACCTACCTGAACTCAGGTAAGGCCTACAAAGATTGCTGATTGAGTGTTCATCACTCTCAACCCCGCTAATGTGCTCTGTTGACATACTCACAGGAATATGTGGTCTTGATCTTCCTTCTGTAAGAAGGGCTGGGAAGGCCCTGGCTAATTGGCATTGGCACTGGGAGCAGTACCCATGTGCCCTTTCTGGTAGGGCACAATAGGTGGTGAGGGCCTGGCCTGTGAGAGGCAGGTACTGGCAGGCAGGTAGGAGCCCGGCAGGGAGCAGCAGGTTGTGGCAGGTCTAGCTGGGGTGAAGAGAAGAGACAGTAGTAGGGCAGAGGAGACCAAGAGCACAAGGGCACCTGAGCCCAGCTGGCAGGAGGAGGAAGCAGGGCCATGGAGATGGGTGATAAGCTCCAGAACTGCCAACCAACATCATCAAACATAAAGAGCTCCTCTAGAGTTGACATAGCCATGGAGTGGGGAAAGTGGTGCCAAATTTGCACTCCAAATAATCCTTATTCCTGATGCCTATGCCAAGAGCATTCTGTACTTAAGGGTACACTGCCTCAGAAGGAGGGGATGTATAGAGACACGCTCAGTGTAAGCACATCAAGGTTAAGGTAACAAGGTGGGGGAGTGGCACCACGTTCCAGATGGGTTGAGGCTCCTTGGACAATGCCCCACCCCTGTTTACTGTGCACCGCCCAGGCAGGGACAGGAATGCTAACGGCTGGGAGTGGTGTTAGAACTGAACAGGGGTGTACTATACACGTGTCAGTGTGTGTCCATATCTGGTCCTATGTGTGCTAGAGCATGTGTTCACAGAAATAATGCTTTGCACACCCATCTGTTTGTGGATTTGGAAAGGGAACAGTAAAAAGGAGAGAGCACAATTTTGGCTAAGAACCTAGAATAGATCTGAGTATCAGATTCCTGGGCTCCCTTTATTGGATACCCCGATATCCCTGGGGTTATTTAAGAGGGGAAACTGGCTGGAGTGGTTTGGAGCTCCCCAGGCATTTTATGAACCGAATAAGAAGAGGGGAGGGCTCCACTCTCAGCACATGCCACAGTTACCAGATTAAGCTGGTTGCCTTGGTAACCTCCTCTCTGGACAGGATTTGGGATTGCTGGTTATGAAGGGGGAAGAATTGGGGAGTGTGGAGGGTGTGGGGGCTGGAAGTAAAAGGGGCAGAGACTTTTGGAAACTGGATGCTTGGGGAGCAGGACCCCAGCACCCCTCCAACTACTCAAGGATATCAGCCAAAGACTAAGTTCTAGACTTTGAATCAGAGAGGAAAGCCAGCCTCGAGTCATGGTCCTCCTAGAACAGCGGTAGTTCTCACCCTAACTGCATCCCAGGGGAACTTTTCAGTAACACTCAATGCCCATGCCACACCCCAAGTGAATTAAATCAGATCTCTGACGTGGGGCCAAAGTTTATGTTTTTTTTTTTTTTGAGGAAGATTCACCTTGAGCTAACATCTGTGCCAATCTTCCTCTATTCTGTATGTGGGTCGCCACCACAGCATGGCTGACGAGTGTTGTAGGTCCATGCCTGGAATCCGAACCTGCGAACCCAGGCCACTGAAGCCAAGTGCACCGAACTTAACTGCTATGCCATGAGGCCGGCCCTATGGTGTTTTTTAAAAGATCCCCAAGTGATTCAAATAGCCAGGGTTGAAAATCACTGCCCTAGACAGACAACCCAACCCAAGTAGGCTGCAGATGCTGGGGGATAACTTTGGGATTCTAAGTCCTTGCTGTTCTCAGTTGTCCACAAGGTAGCAAGCCTGTGTGCTGACCCCAAGGGGGAGGAGGGTTGGCAGGGCATCATGGAAGAAACAGAGGGAGAGAGAGGGGTATGATTAACAACTGTGAGGAGATGGGGACAAAAAACTTTCACTGAGCGCCTAGCCCATGGACTTCTAGAAGAGGACTGGGCAGGGCTACCTAAGGCTGATCTGTCTGCCCCTTACACTCCCTTTCTTTTTGGCCACCGAGAGGCAGGCTGGGAGGGCAGAGAGAACCTGGGGGCTTTGCTGAGCTTGAATTTCTTCTTGCTGAGCTGGTTACCAGGGCAACAGAGAGAGCAATGGCATCTAACCACAGGACTGGAGAAGCAAGAGGCAGGGGTGAGAGCGAAGCATCTTAACATGCTCATTCCTCCTATTAACCCACCCCCAAAGCTGGCTGGCTTTCTTTGCATGACCCCAGGAGACCAGGCCTATAGTTACCCATCACCCTGTGGGAGAAGAGAAAGGAAGCAAACTGACATGATTTGAAGTGGAATTAGGGATGGAGATCAGAAGAGTCATGGTCCTCAGGCTGTAGTAGCAGCACCATGGGGTGTAGGGAGAGTCCCAGCTGTCATTTTAAGATGCACCATAATGCCCATGCCCCCAGTGTACAAGGATTTGTGGGACCCACATTAAACTCAACTGCTCTCCCATACCAGGGACAGCCTCTGCAGTCAACTTCCACCCCAAGGCCCTGGAGGAAGAAACAGTCAACTCAAGCTAGGAACTGTCCTGTACACATCAGAGGCCAAGTGGCCTTGGTAATCAGCAGGATGAGCCCAGCTGGTGGTCTTTCAATTGCCCCTCCTCTTTACCTGTACTAAGATTGATAGGAGCCTCTCTCTTTAGACTGTGGTCCTTGATACTTCAGTGCCAGCATCTTTACTTTTTAAAAAAGCTAGCTACCTGCGCCTCCCCCTTATCAGTACCTGGTATAGTTGTATCGACCTCTGGCACATTACTCTGGGAAACTTACTTGCCAAACGCAAAGACACGAGGGATGCTTAGATGTTCATGTGGGTAAGCAGCATCTCACCAGTTTTTCTGTCCTTGACACTTCCAATCTAAGGGACTCATGATATCCTGGTGTCTGTGTGGCAAGGTGGTTAGGAAAGATAACTGATGGGGAGTGCAGACACACTTATGGCCTCAAAGGGGCTCCTCACCTCTTTGGGCTTCCATTTCACAAGTCTGAGCTGGCTCGAGTAGTGACTGTGACTCTAGAGAATCGGAGTCCTCTTCCCTCCCTTCTAAATCAAGACTCATGCAAAACACTGGTAAAGAAGCCAAGTTTACAGTCTAAATTTTATTATTTCCAAGTCACAATGCTGATCACAAATGTGCACCCTTTAAAACAGTAACAAAAAACAACAACAACACACATGGAGAAATCTTTGCAATGAAACACAGCGGACCAAAAGAGACAACTGTCACAGTGTCTTAAGGTCTGGGAATCTGGGCATGCTATGCCCACAGGCTTGAGGAGACATCTTCAGGTTTAAGGCAAAGGGAACAGCCTACAAAAGGCACAACCACCAGCTACCCCTGGAAGAATCTTTTAGTTATTTCCTCCTTGGGGGTTACAGCTTGAGTGCCTCTCCCCTCTCCCCGCCCCACACCTGTGACTAAGAGTGGTTAGGCCAGCTGCTAGAGAGAAGGAACAGAAATACAGTGACATTGCTTGGGGAGAGACACAGCCACCACCTTCTCCCTCAGATTCTGTAGAAGGACAAGGACAGGGGCCAAGTTACCCCTGGCAGACACAAGTGCTGCAGTAATAGGAATCTCTTCCGCAGAGGCAACAGAAGAGTGGTTCAGCGCCATGGAAGGGAGGAAAAGAGGGAAGAGCCCTTGCCCCAAAAGTGACTGGGTTCCTAAGGCCTTAAGCCCAGGTGTGGTATCTTCTTCTGTTTGCAAGGACAACAGTAGAACTTGGGAAAAATACGGTAGTAACATCTAAAACACCTGTAGCAAGAAAGACATGGAAAAGAGCAATTGCAAAGGACAGGAGAGACTGCTTCTTGGGTAATATTTGCCTCTAGAGAGATGCATTGGTCCACAGAAACTGGAAAGGAGGTGTGGTAGGAGGGATGGAAAGAAGAGAAGCAGAGCCCTCTAATTCCACTTACCTCAAAGACTGAGCCACGAGGACTGGGTGAATACATATCCCTAAGATGCAAAGGCTCTCACTCCACCATCCCTTTCTCACAAAAACATCTGGTTTGCCATCTCTCCCCACGGCAGAGACTTTGCCTTCAGCAGACCACTGAAGCCTACCAGAACACAGGGACTAATGGAGACTCAGACTCCTAAAAACCGAAGTCAAGAAGGGCTCCTACCACAAACTTTGAGCTTTTCTCCACAGTGGGAGACCATGCAGACAGCTACATTTCCATAGGGTTAAAGAAATTAAGAAAATCTAAGTATACAATAACAAAGGCCAACCAAAAACGAAAGGCCAGCTCTTTGTAGACTTAGTGGGGGAAGTCTGGCTGGTACATTCTCCATTATCTGGGACGCAGGGTAGAGCCAAAAGGGAACCCAGAGGAGCTAGCAAACCAGAAGAATGAACTTGTCTCATTTAAAAGCAGAGAGAGAGAAACAGACACAGAGAGAAAGACTAAAAGAATATTAATTTAAGAATAGTAAGCCAGGCTTTAAAAACGAACATCTCAGAAAACAAAACAAACAGGAAGGAGCTTCCCTGGGAGCAGGAGACACTTGAATTTCCCAGGAGAAAGTGAAGAAGAGCAAAAGACATGGGCTTCTAGATGCAGACCAAGAAGCCTGGGCTGTCTGGATCCCTGCTCCTCTGAGCACAGCCAACTCAAGTACAGAGTGGAGATGAGAGGAAGTCCACTTGTTTCTCCCTTTCTCCAGA